TAACACACATGCATTATGTTGCATTTATTATAATTAAAACCCATCTGTCATTTATTTGCCCAACTCACTAAATAATCTAAATTATTGTGTAAATCAGCAGCATCCTTTTCACAGCTACCAACACCCAAGCTTGTGACATTAATCCAGTTTGACTGAACTCCATATGTAACAACCCTCTGCTTTTTTCCATCCAGCCACTCTTCTATCCAATTTGCCAACTTATCCTCCACACCTACAGAGATACTTTTTTTTACAAGCCTTTTATGTGTCACCCTGTCAAATGCTTTTTGAAAATCTAGATACATCAAATCTATATCCTTAACCTCATCTACATAAGTATTAATCTTTTCAAAGAATATCAAAAGATTTTTAAGGCAAGATTTTCCCTTAGTGAAACCATGTTGACTATCCAATAAAATTCTGAACTTTGTTAAATGACTTTGCAAAGCATCGTTTCACAGACTTTCCAAAATTTTTCCACAACTAATGTAAGACTAATGGGTCTATAATTACTGGGACAGTTTTTATCACCTCTCTTGTAAAGAGGAGTTACATAAGGTAACTTCCAATCCTCTGGTACCTGCACACTATTCAAAGACTGACCAAAAATAGTAATAAGTGGCTCACATATCCAATCTTGTACCTCCTTCAAACCCCTTGGGGAAATATTATGTTGTCCAGGAGCCTTATTGCCAACCTTTTCTCATACATCCTTTTTGATGTCCTAATTTCCTGTTTTACCAACTTTCTTGATCTTCTATAATCTTCTAAATCTCCTGTCATACCAGTCAATTTAATGATGTTTTTCTTTAATTTTATCTCTTAAAATCTCTGTGAGCCAACCTGGTTTTTTACTTGCAGCTACTCTTTTCTTTCTGCAAGGAATATGTTATTTTGAATATTACAAAAATTATCTTTAAAAATTTTCCAAATCTGATTGGTGTCTCCAAATATTTCAGCTGCCTAATTCACAACAGATAATTCTTGTCACATCCCTTCAAATCCTATATACAAGCTCATTCTTGGATGAATCCAGGATAATTTTTTTAAACCTCAGCAGATGTGTTTCACACACAAAATTCATAATTGTTTTATGAATTTTAAAGGATAATTCATTATATAATGAAACAAAAAGTATAAATTAATTTTAGTGGTTCATCACTTTATATGCATTCTATGTATGTTCTACAATTTTGTTAAAATAGTAGAACTGATCACAATATCCATTTACAGGCATGGATTCAGTATATTGAAAAAAGGCTCGTGTCTTGTCCAAAATTATATTGCATTATTACCTCTTTATTATTGTTTTTAAATTTTTAAAAAATTTATTTTATTCAAACTGAGAGCTTAACTAGTTGAAAAAACTTTTTAAAGTTATTTTATTTTTTCCAGAACAAACAAACTCCAGAGATATGTCAATGAAGATATAACAATACAACTCCCTGATAAAAAGAAAATTACAAGCATTAAATGGTTAGCTGTTTGGGATATACGAGAACATGTAAGCTTTATAATTACCCTCTATACTGTTGACTAACCTAGTATGATCACACTGAAACTTTTTGGCATAGAAATATATATATATATATATTTATTTATATCAAATTGGATCAAATATTAGAATAGTTTTATAAGTGACTAACCATAATTTAAAATTTAAAATTAGTAACTTAATGTAGAGTTTTTTAATAAAGTGCAGGTATCAAGAGTATTTTTATGTACATGTATATATGTGGAAGGTTCTGCATATTAGCATTAGGTGGCAAACTACAGAATCTGTGTTTTAGAAAAAATTTCTAGCAATGAATTTTTTACTGGAATTCTTTGAGCTGCATCTGTGTGATGTTTTAAGGAAAGGATGCTTTAATTTTTTCCTTGTGTAAGTAGTGTATTTATCATATCTTGCCGAATATTGTAAAGAAAAAGATGCTTAAAGAAGCATTCTTATTGAAATCACAGTCCACTTTCAGCCAAGACTGCAATGCAACTGTCTATAGCTCTCCTTCTGCACATTTATTTAAAACAAACAACACAGACTCATACTTAAAGGTATAGACCATAATTCTCAAATAACATGTCTCTCCTCAGTTCACAACACAACCACATTGATGAAAATACAGACAAAACTGGTCTTCAACACACTTATCTACCATTACCAAAATGATTACAGGAATACAGCCTCTTGTAGATGATGTGCTGTTGGACATATGCTCTTCTCTAATAATCTTTTCAGTGTATTTTAGAGATGTTATATTTTAAGGTTGTTATTTTAGCATTAATACAAAGAGTGTATAGCAGTTCTTTGTAGGTGATTTATTGCTAGGATGTATGCTGTCTAGTAACTATATATACACATTTATATATATATATATATATAGAGAGAGAGAGAGAGAGAATTTTGGAGGTGATGCATTGTTAAGTATATTTTCTATGTTTAACAGATACATACAATGAATCTTAGAGTTATTTATTTATTGATTGGATATGTGACTTATTAGTGATGATTTATCTGTTCTTCTACTAATTGGATGTATGATTTAATGTTAATATGTAGATGGGTATGTTTTTAGTAGTGATGGGTTGTATGTAATTATGTTAACATACTGCTAGGTATATGAAGCTTTGCACTAATATGATATATTGAGGCTTTAGAAGTTTAAACAGTTTTTCTGAACTGAGTAAAAAGTGACTTAACTCTTTCACGGCAGGATCATGGGGAATGATATGAATGCAACAGTACATACTGTAACTGAGGTTTCTTAACATATCCTCACAAAAACTGACAAGATTTTGTTAAAGATTATAAGTATCTTGAATACAAAGAATGACATTATTCTAATTAAGTATCTCTACTAAAAATATGTTATTTATCTGTTGTAGTTTTTTGCACTCAAACTCTTAATAGTTTGTGTACTACGTGATTTCAGATATATCTTACCTCCTTTCAGAAAAAGCTTTCTTGACTTATACTGTCTTCTATCAGCACAAAATTTTGCTCGCCACTAGCCTTCATACTCCTACTTATCTCTGCATACTAACATGCAAATAATTATACACCAGCCCCTCATGAATAGGAGTGTGACACTATCCCTATCATTATTAGTGTCCCCTCTAATCTTGCAGCTGTTAACCATTTCTCGATTGGCAATCTTATTGAATAGATGTGTTTTCGCTCATGTTTTGATTCACTTATCCACAAGTTTTTACTTTCTTAATTTTTCTACGTCAGTTACATTGTTCTTTACAATTTCATGAGTTATGCACTGTTTTGGTGGTCACGACTGTGGCAGCGGAATTACTGACCATGTCCAACCGGCCATGAAGTGATGACACTGGTCGTTGGGATTTGACCACATTCATGCTACAATCAGAACAAACTGACTGGAAAATTGTGAATTTCAACAGCCTCTTTCCCCCCTCCTGAATATGCCTCTCAGTTGCATGTTGTTTTGAGGGACTTGCCCAGACCTTTTCACCCCTTTGGTGAATTTCTTTATTCAGGTCTGTTATGTTCTGTCCCTTTATCCTGTTTCCTATGTTCCACCCCTGCCCTTTCAGGGATGAGCCTTTGGGTCAATATTTAGTGTTTCTTCATTCCCTGGATATTGGGGAACATTTGCATTCAGGGGTCAGTATGCCCCGACCACCATGTGCTGTGGACAATCATGCTTTTAATTATCACTGTTCCAACTTCCCTTATTTGGACTCACAGCATTTGATGCCGCTTCTCTCTGAGTGGGGGTTGGACCATGATAATTCGATTACCTTTTCCCATATTCATCTTACTCTGACCACTCTTCTCAGGTCAGGGCTGGTGGGAGCCAGACTCCTTCAATTTGCCCACCTTTGGAGGTTTTTGGTGGTCGATCCATGAGTACTAAAAGTATTTTCAGTAAGTATGGTCCTGTACTTCCATTCATCTCCCCCATTGTCTCACAATCCTGTTTCCTTCCCTCCTTCTCAGGATCCCATTTTTTGCCAGCCTGATTTATTCCTGAGGCCTTTGTTTCCACCATCATATGGACGTCTAGTTGCTTATTGCCTTCTCACAAGATGACTCAATCCTATGTCCTCAGTTTCTTCTGCCGGATGCTGCCATGGTGGGTTGGATTGTCAAAGTGGAGAATTCTTTCCTTACATTCACACAATATTTAGGTTCATCTCGGTGTGTTTTTGAACCCCCTCCTCCATCAGGCCCTACCTGCTCCTCTTCAGTAGCGACCTATGGAATGCCTTGTATGCAGCATCTCATCCTTTCCTTCTCCTACTGCACATGAGATTCTCTCTCTCTTTTGGGGACCTGGGCTTCTCTCAATGTCTTCGTTCCTCTTGGATGTGCCCTTAGGTGTCATTGTAAGAGGGTTTTCACTTTTGATAGACCAATGTAGTCTTGTTAAGGATCCTTGAAATTCCCCTCTTACCTTTCTCCCTCCCTTACAGACAGACTTCAACTGGTGTTTGGTTCAGAACACCACTGTAGGTGTTCCTCTTCTTCCTCATCATCCAGAATGTCACCTTTTATGTATGCTTCTCTTTCTGGTTGTGGGAAAGGTGTATCTCGACACTCAGGAGGTCTTGAGTTGATGGTCTCTTTTTGAGTCCTCTCTCCATGTCATTCTCTTGGAATTTTTTGTTTGTCAGGTTTTCCTTCACTTCCTGTGATCCACTCTGACATTTCTACGGTAGTCTAGTACATCACCAGACAAGGGACACTCGGTTGACAAGCTTCTTTTTTCAAATGTTGGATCTTCTGTGTTTGACCTGCTGCCATCATATCACTTTGTTTGGCATATTATAATTTGAATCTGGTCGCGGATCAGTTATCCCATCCTGACAAGATTCTTCCTGCAAAATAGTCTTCAGATCTTCAAGTTTTACTGGTTTTGTGTGCTCTGTGGGATGTCCCAGATTTGGATGCTTTTGCCACTCTTTTCAGTACACCACTTCCACAATTTTGGTGTCCTGTTCCTCATCCTCTGGCAGGAGCAGTCAATGTTCTCAGTGGAATTGGTTGGGCTGGTACCTATATGCATATTCTACTATTTGTTTTCTCCAGCATGTCCTTGCCATACTTCAGAACACTGTGTGTAATGTACCAGTGGTGACTACATATTGGCTGGCTCACATGTGGTTTCCACTGATGCATCAGTTTTTGATGTTGCCCCCCCCCCCATTTATCTTCAACACTCCTCCATCAGCCAGACTCAGGCATGCGTCATCCATCTGTACCTCCACTCTGTCTTCATGCATGGCTTCGTCTGGTCCCACACTTGAAGAGCCAGACTTTTGCATGTAGTTACTTTTGTTTCCTGTTCTGTTTCTTCCTCCTTCATGGCAGTTTACCAACTTACGTGATACACATACCATTCTTTTTTGCCTTGGCATTTTGAATGAGGGGCCTTTCATCCAGTTAACTTTGTCACATTTCAATTTACCAACTTTGCTTATGTTTGCCTATTGCCAGTCTTATCCATGTTGTTTCATTCCTTCCACTTTTCCTGCTTCCCTTCCTGATTAGAACCTCTTTGTAGTCCTCCATGCCCTTCCCAGTCCTTTGGAACTTTTTTCTTTGTATTTGTTATATCACCTTTCCTTGACATTCCTGCTCTTGCTTGCATGCTTGTCTGTCCTTCATGGCAGTTTACCAACTTATGTGATACACATACCATTCTTTTTTTGCCTGGGCATTTTGAATGAGGGGGCCTTTCATCCAGATAACTCTGTCACATTTCAGTTTACCAACTTTGCTTATGTTTTCCTGTTGCCAGTCTTATCCATGTTGTTTCATTCCTTCCACTTTTCCTGTTTCCCTTCCTGATTAGCTCCTCTATGTAGTCCTCCCAGCCCTTTGGAACCTTTGTCTTTGTGTTTGTTATATCACCCTTCCTTGAAGTTCCTGCTCTTGCTTGCATGTTATTGTTGTTGTTCTGATGTGTTCACAGTTGATGTTCACTCTGTTTTTGTTTTCTTAGTTCCTGTGTTCTTCTCTTTTCTGATTGTTCCTTTTTGCCCAAGTCTTTGGCTGCTCAAGAGGGTACATCTACCTTCACACCTTTTTTCTTTCCCTCCATTTCCCACCTTTAGAATTGTTCCTGCTTCCTTTGCCTGTTCAAGGCTCACTGATGGTATATGACATATATGGTTCCATAGTCCGTTTATTTCTTCTGTGAAATCCTCACCTCTCCCATGACCTTTTCCCCATTACCCTTCCAAGTTGAAAATGCTTGGCATTTTCTTCCCTTTCTCCTGATGATTGTTACCTTTTTCATGTTTTCTCCCTATCAGATCAGTCACCTTACCATGTTCCTGGCTGCACATTTCCTTTTTCCCCTTGGGGTCATCATCAGTGCTGTAGATGTTTATCTGTGGGTGTAATTACTCTGTTCATTTTTCTTTTTGCTTTATACTCTAATTCAGTAGTCGGCAACCTTTTTTGATCGCGGGTCAATTATTTTTTTATTGTAAAATTTAGCATTGTGTTGGGTCAGTGATAAGCATATA